CCCCTAAATTGGCTGAATCTGAATCCAAAACAAATACTAGCCGCTTTACATAGGCCTAACTTCCAGATGCTCCTGCTACTTGCCCACCCTCCCAGGTGTCCCCCAGAGTCTGGGAGCAGGTTCTACAAGGGGTGGGACCTGCCCATCATGGCCATCACTATCCTTGGGCAAAACTGGCACCCCATGTATCTGCTTATGGAAGCTCTCATCTGGAGTGAGGCAGGAGCAGCCCTGGAGCTCCCTAGCCTGTGGAGGACAGCAGTGACTGTGAGTGGTTCCCTCTGCTTGCACCCAGAGGCAGCTCCTAGGCAACCCCTGCTGGAGAGGCAGACAGAGGGGAATGGGAGGATAGGGAAAGGAAGATGCCTGCATTGGAGGGGAGTGGGTGCCAACAGCAGTGGGGTAATTTTAACATGGAAGTAGGAATCAGAAGGTGGTTCAATCTCTGGATATATGTTAGTGTGACCATTACTAAAATAATGAATTCAGGCTGGGTGTCTGCATTTCTAAAAGGCAGTTTCCATAAACTGGAAAAAGCTCAGAAGAACTGAACCACAACAATGATTAGTGGTCATCATTGTTTTGAAGTCAGAAACTAATTTCAATCTTTCTTTGTTAATCCAAGATTAAGAGATGAATAGATGTTTGTCACCATGTACTTGCAGAGGGAAGAGATTTTGGATAGTAGGTAATAGGGGTGTGGGAAGTGGGCCCTATTCGATTCAGATTTGGCCCAAATCAGGGAGAGTGATTTGATTCGTTGATTCAGATCACTGTCCCTGATTCGATTCAGCTGAATCTGAAGATTCGATGCTAATTCAGAGAATCAGTGATTTGGACATAGACACGGCTTTTAAAGTTTTTTCTACATACCTCGAGGTAGCAGGCATAGCTTGTGAACACTGCAATGCTGGGGTACATGGAGCATCCCACAGGAGCATGGTGGGCCCTTCACATGCTCGGCAGTGAACCCGGAAGTAAATCAGAAGTACTTCCGGTCCATTTCCAGGTCTGCCGGGGAGTGCAGTGGGGGGGGCACCCCTGTGCCCCCATTGGCTCGGCAATCAGCTGCAGAGGGACTCCGAGTGCCCCCCCAGACCCAGGAGGCACCAGTCACTGAGCCGGTGAAGCGGCGGTGGGGGGAGGCCCAGTGCACTCCCCAGCAGACCCGGAAGTGGACTGGAAGTACTTCTGGTGCACTTCCGGGTCTGCTGCCGAGCATGCTGAGATGCACCCTGTGCTTCTGTGGGACACTCCATGCACCCCAACATCACAGCATTCACACGCCTCTGCTACCTAGAGGTACATAGAAAAAAACATTTAAAGCTGTCTCTATGTCCGAATCAATTCAGAGGGTTCCAATTCGATTCAGAGAGATTAAAGGGTCCTCTGATTCAATTCAGATTTGGAGATTCGGCCAGCGAATTGGGCTGAATCTCCACTGAATCGAATCAGGAACCAAAGCTTTGTACAGCCTTAGTACGTAACTCTTTACTGTAACAGAGAAAGGCACAACAAGATCCAGTAGTTGGTAGTGGTTGGTAGTTGAATCAAGCCAAATACAGACTAAGAAATAAGGGGTATTTTAACAACAGTGACTGTAATTAGCCATTGAACAAATTACTTAAGGACATAGTAAATTCTCTTAGTTGAAATATTTAAATTAGGCTTATTGCAGAAATTACTGGGTTGGCTTTACAGTAATAATGGTGTGTCCCGATTTTACCTGAGCTCAGCTCATAATCTATTAATCTAGTCTCATTTGGCTAGAACCTCAGATAGTATCAATTGCCATAGCTCTACTGACTTCAGATGAGTTATGATAAGTTATAAAAGCTGAGAAACTGGACTACTGGAGTTCAGTGGGACTCCTCAGGTACATATCATTAAATACATGAATAACTGCTTGCAGGACTGAAGCCTATAATTTGAATAACTAACTAGTGAGGAACCTGGAAAAATAGGATTGCTTGAGAGTTAAGGAAATGTTTTTTTTTCTTGTTTTTTTTTCTTTTTTTACTGATTTACCTAAGTAACCTGTCCCCAAATTATATGAAAATAATTATTACAATCAGGTTGAATTAAGAAGGAGCATGACATTTATACATTCTGGGTGCTTACACAAGTTACATTTTTCACATGATCTGGCCTCTGAAAGTGCAGAGTACTTTTAAAATTGTTGATTGTGTGAAAAATTAACCTTTGCTAATTCACCCATTAGCTGAAGGCACTCTACAGCAGAGTGCCCTGGGGAACTTCTATTCAGGTTCCCTTGAGGATTAATTTATCACATGCACCTTTGTGTGGCTGGGCTGTTGCTCATTTCAGTAAACACCAGCTCAGCTCTGCCCCTGGGTCTGTCCCAGAGAGCAGAGAGTCTCCTCCTTGTGCAACAGGGGAGGGAGGGGAAAAGGGAGAGGGCAGCACGCAGCTGCCAGCTGGGCTTTGCTGTGGGCAGAACTGAGGGAAGGAGGGGTAGAATAGAGCCCTCTCACCTTGCAGGCTTCCTCCCCCACCAGCTACCATGGCTAGGGTATTGGGGGGAGCCAGGTTGGCCTCATGAAGCAGGCAGGGGTGCCCCTTTCCCCAGCACCCTCCTGCCCCCAGCTCTGGCTGCAACAAAGCTGAGCCAGCAGCTGTACGCTGCTGCTCTCAAGAAGCTCGGGCCAGGGCTAGAGGAAGGTAGCTGCCCGTGCCTCATGGGCCCAGCCCAGTTTCCCATAGTACCCCAGCCAGGTCTGTCGGGGGTGCCTACAAGGTGGTGGGGGGAGGTCCCTTCCCCCAGCCCTTGCCCGAGCCTTTTGACAGGAGCATCACACAGCTGCTGGCTTGGCTTTGCTGCGGCCAGAGCTGGGGGGCAGGAGAGAGCTGGGAAAAGGAGCAGTTTGGCAGCCTCCTGAGACACTGCTGGAGTGCCTCTGCAGACAGGTTTGGCCCGCCCCTGCTGGGTGGGGTGGGGGCTCCAACTCATAGATGTTAGGGCCAGAAGGGACCTCAATAGATCATCGAGTCCGACCCCCTGCATAGGCAGGAAAGAGTCCTGGGTTCAGATGACCCCAGACAGATGCCTATCTAACCTCCTCTTGAAGAACCCTACCTCCCTTGGGAGCCCATTCCAGATGTTGGTAACTGTGAAGAAGTTCTTCCTAATGTCCAGACTAAATCTGTTCTCTGCTAGCTTGTGGCCATTATTTCTTGTGACCCCCCAGGGGCACCTCGGTGAGTAGAGCCTCCCCAATTCCCTTCTGTGCCCCATGATGAACTTATAGGCAGCCACAAGGTCGCCTCTCAACCTTCTCTTGCAGAGGCTGAAGAGGTCCAGGTGCCCTAGTCTCTCCTTGTAGGGCTTGGCCTGCAAGCCCTTAACCATATGAGTGGCCCTTCTCTGGACCCTCTCCAGGTTATTCACATCCCTCTTGAAGTGTGGCACCCAAAACTGCACGCAGTATTCTAACTGTGTTCTGACCAGCGCCTGATAGAGGGGAAGTATCACCTCCTTGGTTCTGTTTGTCATGCATCTGCTGATGCATGATAAAGTCCAGTTAGCTTTGCTGATGGCTTCATCACACTGCCGACTCATGTTCATCTTGGAGTCCACTACAATTCCGAGATCCCTTTCCACTTCTGTGCTACTGAGCAGGTCATTTCCTAGGCAGTAGGTGTGCTGGACATTTTTCCTCCCTAGGTGCAGCATTTTGCATTTCTCCTTGTTAAATCGCATTCTATTGTTTTCTGCCCATTTGTCCAGCCTGTCCAGGTCTGCCTGGACATTTGTTCCCTGCCCTCCAGTGCACCCACTTCTCACTATAGTTTTGTATCATCTGCAGACTTGGACAGAGTACACTTCACTCCCTCGTCCAAGTCACTGATGAAGACATTGAAGAATATCGGTCCAAGGACCGAGCCCTGCGGGACCCCACTGCCCACGCCCTTCCAGGTTGATACCAACCCATTCACTACCACTCTCTGGGTACAACCCTCTAGCCAATTTACCACCCACCGGACTGTGTAATCATCCATGTCACAGCCTCTTAATTTGTATACCAATATGGGGTGGGATACCATATCAAAGGCCTTCCTGAAGTCTAAGTAAACGATGTCTACCCCTACTCCTGTGTCCAGGTGTTTTGTAACTTGGTCATAAAAAGAGGCTAGATTAGTCAGGCATGATCTACCTGCTACGAACCCATGCTGGTTTCCCCTCAGCATAATTTTTCCTACTGGGCTCTCACATATATGAGCCTTAATAATCTTTTCAAAGACTTTGCCAAGGATGGAGGTGCGACTGCCTGGCCTATACTTGCCTGGATTCTCCTTCCTCCCCTTCTTGAAAATAGGGACCACATTGGTCCTTTTCCAGTCCTCTGGGACATGGCCCGTGTGCCACGAGCGCTCAAATATTCTTGCTAGTGGCTGTGCAATGGCATCAGCCTGTGCCTTCAGTACCCTCGGATGGAGCTCATCCGGTCCTGCTGACTTAAATGCATCCAGTCCTTCCAAGTGACTCTGCAACATCTCAGGGCCAACGCTTGGTAGTCTGGTGCCCTGCTGTTGCCTCTCTGCAATCCCATTGTGAGACTTGTCTTGCCCCTCACTTAAGAACACTGAGGCAAAGAACTCATTGAGGAGTTCAGCCTTGTCCCCCCTGTCTTTCACCAATTGCTTATGCCCATTCAGTAGTAGTCCTATTCCACCATGGGCCTTCCTTTTACTCCCTATATATCTGAAAAAACAATTTTTTGTTATCCTTAACTTGGCATGCCATTCTCAGCTCCATGGTAGCTTTGGCCTTTCTAACTGCCTCCCTCATGGTGCCCTCCCCTAAGTGACTGTAGGGTCCCTAAACCTTAGCAACTGTACGCTCTCACGAATTGTTCACCCTTTTCACCTTTTTGGATACTTATGAGTCAATCTGTAGAACCTTTAAAAGCTTTTACTCCAGAAGTGTTTTCTCATATTTTTTGGAACAATCTTCCCACCTGCAATGATATTTCCCTCTGTCTCTTACATTTAAAACAAGTGATCTCAGTCCCACAGCTGACAAAACCTTCTTTACTTTCTTCTGATTGTAGATGGTGAAATACTTTTAGAAAGGAGCTGTTTTTAAACGGAGTCTTGACACTGGATCCTGCCCCTTCCAAAAGGATATATCTCTACCTAAAAGGGTTTTAAAGAGAATTCACAGTGAAAATTGTACTACTGGCCTCTCAATTATTGACTAATAGTCATCCCCCCCCTCTCCCCCGGGGAAGTATTTTCAGTAATTTTTCAGAATTACCTGCCTGTGTGAAATCCAGGCCCTTTTGAAGTCAATGGCAAAACTCCCACCGACTTGAATGGGCTCAGGATTTTACTGCCAGATTTTACCCCGTGGACTATAGTTCTGAAGTATACATTTCAACATCATAATATGGCAAAACTCCCATTTACTTCAATGAGCCCCCGCATTCACTACTGGATTTTACCCTATGGATTATATTTTGAAGTGTATATTTCAACAGTATAATATATCCTATAAATCCCATGTCAGCACCATCAGGACTACACACAGCAGGACATTTTTGTCTTGGCATGAACAACCACGTCACCTCCCTTTCTGTGGTTTTGCTTTTTCTGTATATATGTACTTAGATTTTAACCTTTGGGGTGGGGGGAGAGAGCTGTTTTTTTTGTTTTTGTTTTTTTTTTTTTATATACCCATCCATAAAGTACATACAGCATGGCTGATGCATGCCCTTGCTCTCTCCTCCATTCTTAATTTGCATAATTTAATGTTATTTTCAGAGGGTGTTTACCTGTGACATTAATAGGTATGATGCCTGCACTGTATACTTTATATTACCTGCTTATAAAACTCTGGTTTGATACTAAGTTTCCCTTGTTGGTTTTAAAGCTCTAGAAAACACAGGCTACCGTTTGAGCACCCCCTAAGCTTTGTTCTGAAAAACACTTGTGCTGTGATAGCATTATACTTCTTGGAGATCTTGCATATCAGCTGATGGAGTCACGCTTTAGCTGTTTTAAGAACTGGGGTATGCAACCTACTCCATCTCTGTTGATTTCTCCACACTTAAAAACACCTCAAAACACCTTTTTTATATGTCAATGGCTCTCTCTTAAGGCTACCTTGTTCTATTTCTGCAATGGGGCCTTTCCCCAAGGACAGATTATTAATGCCACCCCCAGCTTTTCATCTGGACCACTGGATCACATAAGCCTGCCCACCTAGTAAAAGCTCTAGTCACAGTATGGAACCTGTGCCTTAGGGCCACCAAAGGGCATATGCAGAAGATCTATATGGAAATGACCCTCTATTGAACATTATTCAAGGGGGGAAATTATGGGATTTAACAATATCAAGGACATGCAAAGAATGATCCAGGACAGACTGGTGGCAGACCCTTGCCCTCTGTTATTTTTTTTCCTGGCCTTCTTGATTAGCATTGTATTAGTATGTTATTTACAGAGTGTGTTTTCCTATTATATTAATGAATTTGATTTAATCTTTGATTTTACTGAGGTGCAGTTAGTGTGCAAATAGAGGAAGATGCAATTTTAACGATTTGTACTTTTTAATTATATTGTAACTCAAATCTAAATGATCCTGTCATTTAAAAAAAAGAGTAAATATGGTATTTAAATCTATGGTTTCCATGACTAGATAACCCCCTAAATGTAGTGCATTTTAGAGTTATACTGCATGGCTTATTATTACAAAATGCCAGAAAAAAAATATAGTATGTTTTCATTGGGAGTGTATCCTTTACTATACTCCCTTAAACAAATATTATGAAGTATTCATACAAAATTCTAATAAAATGTTTTAACTTTGTTGACAATGGCATATGTCTACTGAAAGTATTATCACCTTATGCAACAGATCATTTCCTTTATATAATCAGAATAATATCTCCTGGATATACTGATAAAATAAGCTTTACCACATTTTACTTTTAGTTCTGTGGAACTGCTACCATTAAATTGTCATGAGCTAAATTCTGCTAGTACTTGTGCATCATCACCAGATTTTTTTTAGTAAGTTCTACTTAATTACATGTTTGCAAAACCATTGAAGAAAACAGAATTGCCCAAGTATCACTAAGGGACTCACTTGTCTTGCAAAATCTTTACAATTACTGATAAAATATAAGAAGGAAAAAACTCATTTTTGCTGATAGTTCCCAGAGGGGAATCTTCAGGGCAATTTGTTTGGGCAAAACATGCTTTCCCTTATAAATTTAACTCTAACCTGTTTTGGACTTGGTGAGACAAAGCAGATTTGAAATGGTACCATTGTTATTCACATTTCAAGTTAAAACTAAACTTTAAATGTTCTTGAAAAGAGCAAACCTCTTCCCAACTCCACAGTTCATGAAGCACACACACACACATATATACTGTGCATGTTGCAGCCTCCTTTACATCTGACCTACTACTGTTTCCGGCCCTTCCATCCCAGCTCAGAGAAGTACAGACGATAAGCACTGATACAGTTGAATGGGTATTAGCTATAGAAAGTTGCATTAAATAAATGAACTATTGTTGGCTATCAGTTTGACTCAATGCCAACTAGCTAAATGAATCACTTAAAAAAAAATAAACAACAAAAAAGAGAGGTTTAAATTGACATGACTATTGTTTGACTTTCCACTTTTTTGTTTTAGTAGAAATCAAAGCCTGGCTGACATGCCATACCAGCCAAAGTACAAGGACCCCATGTCTATTTCTTGCCAACCCCCAGCTAATACATCATGCCTTTCTATTTTTCACTCATATTATTTGCTATTAGAAATGTTAAATACAGGCCCGTAAATCTATGAAAAAGTCCCTGCTTGACCCAATAACATTTCTCCATCCTCTTAAAACTCTTGACTATTTTTCTTTGCCTTTTATGCATCATATAAGCCCAGAGGGATATTGAACAGAGATACTTAAACTATTTTGGTTTGTTTAGCAGTTTATATGTCTTCAATCTTCTGGAAAAAGTAAGGGAAGGAGAAGCAAGCTTGCAGCAATAAAAAAAAAATCTTATAAAGTGAATTTGACTTAGCTGTTATGTTAAAATGTTAACATTGGAGTAAATCATTAGTTTGGTGAGTAAGGTTAATAGGAAGCCTGCTGCCTGATCATTTACAACTTCTCTGTTTCTCTACTATGGCAGAGACACGCTGTGACATGCCTTGACCCAGGATACAGCCTGGGTGCACCTCTAAGGTCCACCTTCAGGTCCAAACCTCTCCCTGCCATCTGCTGCTTGACCACTGAGAACCAGTTGAGATGTGCCAGGGGCCAACTCATTGTCCTGTTACACCTCGGTCTCACCCATCTTACCTAGGTCTTGCCAGTTATTATTAGAGGGGATTCTGATAGCTAGAAGATGTAACCTTGTCCAGTCATGTGCTCAAAAAAGATAGATTTCCCCTTCTGGGAAGAGACTTGCCTATATGGTCAAATGCTCTTGAATCCGTTATCACTGAAAAAAGTGCGCATAAGAAATCAGTAACTATATGCCGAGATAGACATAAATAAAAGAAAAAACAATGAAGGAACATCAGAAAAATAACCCCCTGCTAGGCTGCACTCCCTGTTTAGCTGGCGGGCAGGAGGGCAGGCAGGAGCACCAGTGCCCACCCTAAGAGTGCAGGCCAGGGAACATGGCTGCCAGCAAAAGCTGCTAGGGGACTGCCCACCCCGGATCGCTGACTAGTGTCAGGGGGGGCACATGCCTCCCCACCTCAAGAGGAAACAGACACCCATGAGGAATACTAATCTAATATTCCTAAAATGCTCTCTCTTACCTAATTTCCTCCACAGAGAGAATTGTTCTTCCTGTTCCGAAGTGCTACTTATGGTGGGATGTTTCCTCTAAACATGTGAACTTGTCATTGTTTGGGAGGGCCTATTTGGGATGAAACATACTCATGTCAGATGCTAATTCTAAGTAATTGCTGTTCTTCAGCCATTTGGGTTTGCAGCCCCTCCTAGATGCCAAAGAAATTCACTGTTTATCACTTGAAAGTCATTAACATATTACACAATCCTCAAATACCACAATGCATATAAATATAAGGACAAATACAGTTTGACATTACACGTATACGTATATATTACACATGCCATATTATTAAAACAAGTTTAAAAAAAAGGTTCATAACCCCACAAACTGCCAGGTCATAGTGGAGTTCATGACAGGTGGTTATCATATAGTCTGAAGTCAGGCTAAAGCAGAGCAGGGGGAACCTTAGGGTGCCTGTAGATATGCAGGATGCCTGTTCCAGTGCGCTGTAATTACAGCACATCAGAGCAAACTCAATTAATTGCGTCTGCCCAAGCGTGCTAATTAGCATGTCCAAGCAGCCTCAGCATCTCATATATTCAGTGTCCCCACACTTCAAAGTGGCAGCCAGGGTGCATTAAGTAAAACTTGTTGAATGAGATTTAGTTAAAGTGCCCCCACTGCCATTTTGAAGCACAGGATGCTGATTAAACAAGATGCTGTGGGCACTTTAATTAGAGCAGTTCCTGAGAGCCGTTCTAATTAAACCAACCCACCCCTGGAGCATGTGTGAAGATGCCCTCGGGGACTAACTGGTTCAGAGGGGCATACGCTTTTGTAGGCAACAGACTACTTGGCCTAATGCTATGATCAATTTGCAGATAGAAGGGGTTTAAAAGAAATGGACAGGAGGAGGGGAAACCACTAGAAGAGGCAAAAGGTGAGTTTATTAAATCAAAAGGGATAAACATGGCAGTCTAAACTTTGAGAGACATTGTAGTTAACAGCTGGAGTAAACAGCTAGTCTAGGTGAACTAATAAGAATCCCTAGACCACAGTTAACTATCCTGTTTAGAGTTAATACCTAGTTCAGGTAACAGAACAATTTTTTTCTCCCTAGAACCATAGAAAATTAGGGTTAGAAGGGACCTCAGGAGGTCATCTAGTCCAACCCCCTGCTCAAAGCAGGACCATCCCCAACTACATCATCCCAGTGAGGGCTATCAAGCTGGGTCTTAAAAACCTCCACGGATGGAGATTCCACCACCTCTCTGGGTAACCCATTCCAGTGCTTCACCACCGTCCAGTGAGAAAGATTTTCCTAATATCTAACCTAAACTTCCTTTGCTGAAACTTTAAACCATTGCTCCTTGTTCTTTCATCTGTCACCACTGAGAACAATCCATCTCCATCCTCTTCGGAAACACTATTTAGGTAGTTGAAGGCCATTATCAAATCCTCCCTCGGTCTTCTGTTCGTCAGACTAAATAAGCCTAGGTCCGTCAATCTCTCTTCATAAATCATACGCTCCAGCCCCTTAACCATCTTGGTTGCCCTCAGCTGGACTCCCCCCCAACTTGTTCACATCTTTTCTCTAGCTGGGGGCCCAAAACTGGATACGGTACTCCGGGTATGGCCTCACCAGTGCTGAATAGAGGGAAATAATAATTTCCTTCAATCTGCTGGCAACACTTTTACGGATGCAGTCCAGTATGCTTTTAGCCTTCTTGGCAACAAGGGTACACCACATCCAGCTTATCATCCACTGTAACCACCAGGTCCTTTTCTGCAGAGCTGCTGCCTAGCCAATAGCAGTGCCTGTAGCAGTTCATGGGATTCTTCCATCCTAAGCGCAGGACTTTGCACTTGTTCTTATTGAACCTCATGAGATTTCTTTTGGCCCAATCCTCTATTTTTTCTAGCTCACACTGAATCCTAGCCCTACCCTTCAGTGTATCTACTACACCTTTCAGCTTGATGTCATCTGCAAACTTGCTTAGCGTGCAATCCATCCCCTCTTCCAGATCATTAATGATGATATTGAACAAAACCATCCCCAAGACCAACCCCTGGGGAACTCCGCTTGACACTGGCAGCCAACACCACCTGGCTGCACCATAGCATGGCACAGCCCAGGGGCTGGGGGGTGTGGTGCATGGCCGGACATGGGGTGGAGGGAGTGGGACCTGATCCTGACCCCAGCACCACCACTGACTCTGGCACCTCCCACCCTGCCCGGGGTCAGAGCCAAGAGCCCATGCCCCCAGGCAGTGGCTCCAGCCCCATGGATCTGTGCAGCGTCTGCCACAGGAGGTGGGGCCAGGCTCTCCCTTCTCCCCAGACTGTGCTGCCCAGTACACCTTGCCTGTGAAGACTGTGACCTCCGGGTCTTGAATAATCGGTCACGTGCTACCTTGGCTTGCGCACAAAGGGGTGTACGCCCTGCAGCCTCCCTAAAAATGCCGTGTTGATGTTCCCTCCGTGGGAAGGCTCCCCCTATCTTGCCTGCCATGACTTGGATGTTTCCCCATGGTGAGGGGGGGGAAAATGACCGTCCCGGAGATCTACTATGGCACGGGTGGCCCAGCGGTCACTAGCGGCGCTCCGCCACCCCTACACCCCATCCTTATGTCACCTCGATGAGTTGTCCCGCCTTCATGACCATGTACCCTTCTACTACTGTAGAGCCTCTCAATTTCCCTCCAGTTTAGAATACCGCCTTTTGAGGCCGATTCGCATAATCCATTCTGGGTTGTGTTTGCTGGTCTTGTTCGTACCCTCCTGGGAGGAGCTTTTCCCTGCCCCTGACTCAGACTGACTTATACACTCCGCCACATCTCTCCTACCCTCATGTGGTTTCCTACCCCTCAACCCCTTTGCACTGGGAAACATGAAAAAAACACCAAAAGAAAAACAAAAGCAACTCTCCTCCCAGGTCTCTTGTATCAGACCCTGGGTGCTGAACTCCCTACGGTCTGGCTATGGGCTGACCCCTGTTCGGGTCCTCTCTTCCCCTCCTTCCCCTGCCTCTATATATATCCTTAGCTATCTTGTGCCTCTCCTCTCTGGGACAGCCCTATTGGAGGATCTTGCCGTTCCCTGTCGCATGGCTGGCTCTTCCCCACACTCAGGATCACCGCCTGAGTTCTCTGTAATCCTCCTGTCGGCTCCTGCCGGGCTCACTTGCTGGGTAGAGCTCCTCCTCCTCCCTCCAGTCCCTGCTACTCCCACCTGCGGTGGTGGTAATTCCTCCATGTCCTCTGCTGTTTCCTCCTGCCGGCTGATGGAGCCGCTTCCCATTCACCTCCAGCACTGGCGGCTTGCTCACAGTCACTGGCGTTGCAGCCGGCATCAGGAGCCTCCTTTAGCTCCCTGTTTACTGCTCTCTCCTCCCAGTGCTGCTCCCAAAAGGGGCCTGGCATCCCCACACTCCCCGGGTCCTATCTCTCTCCGCCCC